CCCTTTCGGTTGGTTTACCAAGACGTAGTTCTAGCAAATACGAGATGAAGGGTGGGAAATGACTTTTGGAATTTGTGGGTTACCACTAGTGGGTTTTGTGATATGGCAAGACCTCTTCTGCTTGGGTACTGTAAGTATTTCATGTCATCCATTTCTTTACAGGGTTTGCTGGCACTCCAGGCTACCTCTCCCCCGAAGTCTTAAGAAAAGATCCTTATGGAAAACCAGTGGATATATGGGCATGTGGTAAGATTCTGTCAAAACGTTTTACACTTGAACAACATGGTTTCATGTAGAAGAGCAATTCCTTATAACCTATTGCTGGGAGGGTGCGTAGTGCTCCTTCTTGTTGGGTGGGGAGATGAAGGCTCACTTGAGGATAAACACCTTGTGTAGATGGAGTTAATACTGGAGCCTGAACTCATTTGATTCTGGCTCCTAATCCTTTCCTCAGGCCATCTATCAGATGTTTGAGAGTCAAGAGATAGGACCTGTCTATGCTTTTGAGTCAGTTGTTTAGATAACTGTAGCAATTTCCTATTATACTATGTAGAAGATGAAATACTGAAGAGAGCTGATTTTTTAAAGAGGAAAATTGAACTGTAAATGTATCTGGGACCAATAAGTTTAAAGATATGTGATATCAGTGTTGCCTGACACAGACTAAATGGTTCTCTGCAGGCCAGGAGTGTTAGCTTTGTCAGTGGCACTTTTGTCCCAAGACCATGCACAATAAGCATCTAAAAATCTAGTCCTTCCTAAAAAATCCCTTGCTGCCCAGCAACCCCAGGGGATGTGGCTTCATTTTATTCTGAGAGGAGCTGGGAGTTGTGGCTCACCAGCCATTATAGCCGGAGAAGGGTAGAAGGACATCATGTACCTTGTTCTAGCTCCTGGCAGCTGGTGTTGAGCTGAGAGTGAGGATCAGCAGAGGAGACGTTTGTACTGCCTTTTTCTACCTCGTAAGGCTAAATATGATGGCAAATGCAGATACAGAGCAATCATTGCCTTGGGGGCTGTCAAGAGGGAAGAAAGGGGCTGAAGGAATAATTGGCGTGTTAGCCTAACCATAGTGTATCTGTGTCTCTCCCTCCCAGGAGTGATTCTGTACATATTGCTAGTGGGGTACCCTCCCTTTTGGGATGAAGATCAGCACAAACTCTATCAGCAGATCAAAGCCGGAGCCTATGACGTAAGGGCACTTTCTTGCTGAGTACCTGCATGGGTGTAGAAGCCATCCAAAACATGGCACTATCTTACTTGGTGTCCAGCAGCAGGCCCCAAGCTACTGTGCAAAGTGACGTTTGGCGTGTTCATACACCTCGTTGTCTTCACTGCCTGGGATACAGAAAGGATATGTGAAAAGCATCACAGTGGGCACCAAAACGTTGCTGGTCATTAGGGAAATGCAGATGGTGGGAAATGCTGTCTTCTGGTGCATTTACCACAAAGTGCTGCAGATGTAGCCAATGCTAACTCTTTCAGAGGAGCGGAGGGAAGGGAGAATGCAGGAGCCTGTCTTTATCAAGGCCTAATTAAAAGTAAGGGGAAGTAATCTGTAGAATAATAGCTTAAATTATGGTCTCTGGTCTCCTTGGTGCCATAGTGGAATTGCTTCCAGCCATGGAAAGCGTGGAGCCCAGTGAGAAGATTGAATGGCAGGGGCCTTTGGAGGGGTGGCTTTGTGGTGGGGATCAGCGTGGTGGGTTGGAGGCTCTGGTAAAAAGCCAAGCAGTTCATGGAACAGTTCTCATAGCATGGCAAAACTGAGGTGTAAATAGGTGCCTGGAGGAGAGGAATAGCAAGGAGGTTGGTACTGGGGAGCAAAGGTGTTGTAAAATGTAATTTGGGTACCACAGCTTGAATGTTTGGCATGAATTCTTCCACGTAAGGAGAGGCTCAGGAGGGAAGAAGGAACTCCTGGAAATCCCAGCTGAAAGCCTGTGGGTATGAATATCAAAAGGAAGTTGGGGAGTTAATTTGGTAGACAGTCTGGGGAGTTACTTTTGTAGACAGTCTTGTGCGTTGTATTTACAAAAAAAAAAAAAAAAAAGTAGCAAGGGTTCTGCTGGATCCCAGTTACCTCCCAGCTTCTGTGCCTGAGACCATGAGAGCGGCTGTACTGGTGAGAACAAAGGTCTGCCTAACCCCGTGTCCTGGCTCAGTGGCTTCCTGAGTGAAAGAAAAGTGATGTCTTTGTACTTGATAGCCTTAAATGGACTTGTGTTCTTCTCTTGCCTTCCTGCCCCTCTTGTTTCTGTGTTGCTTGTTCTCATTTGAAGTGTTTTTGCACTAATCATATCGATGGGGATTTTCAAAGTACTTCAGGGGTTAAACGTCTAACTCTGTAAGTCATGAGGAGTGAAGTGCCTGATGCCTCCTATCTACCTGTTGTTTTTGAATTCTTACCTATAATGAACAAGTTGCAATAGATTCCTCCCCTGTTTTGCCTGGTAGAAAACAGCTCCAGTCTTACTGGTGTGCCTGCCCTTGGTGTCCTTACCCCAGCACCGAGAATGCACTGGACTGGTCTGCTGGTATCTCTTGACTGTAAAGAAAGTGGCAACTGTGAACTGGACTTTGTGCTGTTGGGTAGGGGTTTTGCAAGGCGTTACCATGAATGCTTCAGTGTTGGGGTGTGGGGGGATTGTCCTGGCTGAAAGCTCAATATCATAATTTTTGACTAGTCTCTTGAAATGTTTGCAGAACAAATTGTATAATGCTGTGTTGATGCCTGAGAATGCAGAAATAAGATTTATATGTAAATCAAATATGGTGGGTGTATATTTATGATGCTGCTGAGCAAAGCAGAAAATGCAGGAGAAGAGAGATGGGATAAACTTTTTCTAAATGTTGTAGTACTGTAAGGAAATGTGTCAGGATAGATCGGTCTTCCCCCCCCACTTAAAGACAGGGACTTTTATCCCAACAGCACATTTCTTTCTGTTCTCAAGTTCACCTGTATTTGTACAGTAGAATCATAGGAGTGAGACGTACTGCATTTAATCTCAGCATGCTGTCACCTCGACCACATGCAAGCATCTGGAGGATGGTGTAAATATCTCATCTTTATCATTACTGGAATTATAGGAGAGAGCAGTTACCCCTCATGGATGATCAGCAACTGAAATACTTCAGATTCTTTGTTTCCATTCTTCTGTATTCCCATCCGCTATTACGTCTCTCTTGCTCCCCATGTAATGATTTCTGGTATGGTAGGTGCTTGCTAACAACTTGCTGGTGGGTTGCTACACCTAAGTGACTGGTATTGTTCCAGGATATTGTGCTTTACGGTGGGGGAAAGTGTACCTGATGGGATGTTCTCTGTTAGTGGTTTTTGCTTTCACGAGGTTTTGCTGTAGTTAAGTGTTTGTGATTTTGCATATGCTGTTACAGCTTTTTAGCGTGCTGGAGAAAGAGCAAGGTGGGGTAAAAAAGGTAGTGCTTGTGTTTTTCATGTCATAACTCAGTTTAAAAGATCTGTGACTACTTTTTTGACTGTTGAGTGTGAAAGAAATTCAAAGGTCTGAGTGATTCTTAAAAGGCTTTTAAGCCGTTAATCTTCCTGCCTGTGTCTGGTGAATGGTACAGGTGTGCCCTGCTGTCTGGTACCGTTCATTTGCTGGATTCTGTATGATTTTTGTTCAGCCTGGGTTTTCACAAAAAATGATGGGTTTTGCAAATGTTGGCCCTGCTATCAAAAGGGCAAAAGCTGGAATTCAGCTGTGCTGGAGGGAGAATCTCCTCTGCTAGTAGAAGATATTTTCAGTTCATCATCTTTTCCTTCTTCCTCTTTCAGTTCCCATCACCTGAGTGGGACACTGTGACTCCTGAAGCAAAGAATTTGATCAACCAGATGCTGACAATAAATCCAGCAAAGCGCATCACAGCTGACCAGGCTCTCAAACATCCATGGGTCTGCGTAAGTGTTTTCCTCTGTTACAGATTGATTTCTGGTTTACCCTGAACTGACATGTCAAGAAGACTTAGTTGCAGAGGAACCCAGAATATTTTAAGCATTTCAAATTGTGATTTTTTTTAAATTTTTTTTTTTTTTGGAGGCTGACCTTATACAAGCCGACTTTGTCATGCTGTGGTGCTTTTATTGCCACTGTACAAAAAAAAAAATATCCCTTATTCTTTTAGAGGTTTTGTGAATGCCCATAATTTCTGGTTTTCCCCATGTCTCCTGTTCTAATCCATATTATCCAAAAGTCTCAGATGGCGCTTGGCATCAGATAAAATATTTTAGGATTATTTTGTTCTTCATCTCTACTTCAGTTTATCACATTGCATCTTTACAGTGTTGGAACATTTCTGCTGTGCTGCAGCTTAACTGGCTGTAAACTTGAAATCAGCAAAAAAATCTTTTGCTGTAGTAGTTTCTGCCTTGCCAGACCCCACACATGAAAAATACTTATCTTTTGCAAAGTTGGCAAGGAAATCCCAGAATGCAGATGGGAGCGGTTGTAGGGGAGGGCAGCAGTGGTGCACTTTTATCTCTGCAGGATGCAGTAGTTCCACCTAAGTCTAACCAGATGCTCTTGTAATACCATCACATACTTCTGCGTTCTAGGATGTGTCTAGTGTGTTCCTTCACTCATTTGTTATTGAGAAACCGTGGTGGTGTTTTCCTTCTGCCACAAACCGACAAATTAGGAATTTAAGCTTACTTATGTGAACATCTGTGTAACAGGAGTGTAGTGCCTCCTTTTAAGTGATGCAAGGTCCTTGGAAGTCAAAGCTTCGCACTAGCTGAGACTTTACATCTCTGTTGTTTTTTTTTCTCCTTGCATGCTTGTAATCAATAGCAGTTCCTGTGTATTTAACTTTTGTCCCAGTGCCTGTAACCAAAACCGTATATATTACGATAGCTCACTCCCTGTGGCAACATAATATAGAACAGTTCAAGAGAGGCTTTCCTTCTCTGAGTTATGGGGGGTTTGATTTCACTTCACAGCCATTTCAGCCTCTCGCCCAAACTGCCTCCTGTTGAGTCTGTTGTTTCCATTTGCTCTGCAGTCTCTGTGTGTGCAACGTACATTTTCTTTCTCGTGATGTATTCCTCCTCTGAAGTAAACGTGGTAGGAAATGTTAGAAGTTTATCTGAGACGCTAAGTTTGTTAGCATCACTGAACTTTTGAAGTTCTTATAAGTCTGCATTGAACAACTGGACATCACTGTGACTCCTAAAGAAGCTGGATGAACAGTGACCACCAGAGTTGTTAGAGGACAGTTTAGCTACATTCTCCTTCCGCACTGCCGTGTGTGCTGCAGCAGATGACCAGCTTTGACAACAGGATCAAAGCAGAGACTTCCCATGAAACTAGATGAATATGAGCATGATTTACAGTTCTTTTGGGTATTGCAGAATTTTTTCCAAGCAGGAGAAGGGTAATGGAGGGTTTGTACATGCTGATCTGCCAAGTTAATAATTCACCCACTGTCCTTGTAAAGGGAATTCAGGTTTGTGGCTCTATGCAAGAGCAACAGCTACTTTGGCATCAGTCTCTGGTTTCCTCATGTGCTCTAAATGCCTGGCACCATCAGTCTCTGGTTTCCTCATGTGCTCTTGATGACTGGCAACGCTTCTGGGAAGTTCTCTTTTTGCAGCTGATGGGAACCCCATCTACTGTGGGTGACAAGTATGTGTCACTGGCTAGAGGTTATGTTCAGGTTTTTGCATTGGTACAATAGGGCTATATGATCTTTTGTCTTACACGCTGAAAATTGATTTCTGCAAAACTGATGCAAAGATGCTGAGGCCTCTGCTATAGTCAAGCAGTTATATTCAGGGAGTTGCCCTGTCCGGGAAGGCTACCGCTTACTAGTGTTCACTTACTACTTGGAATGTCCCCTTAGAGCAGTAACTAATGCAACTCAGAACTTTTCTGTAGTGCCTCTAACTCAGTCCCCCCATGGGTATGCTTGTTCATTTGACTTTATCTTCTTACCGTCTTGACCCATTTGTCTGCCTGAGAGATAGGGAGCATTGATTCTCACCTGTACCTCAATCATAGAGTTTCTTGGGCACAGTCCTGTAATTGCCAACCTTGACTTAACACGTCTTGCTGTATTGGGAAGTTCTTAAGTTACAAACCAGTTGCAGTGTTTTGCAGCCATGCAGTGGTGAGAGGCTTGGCCGTGTCAGCTTGCATGTCACGGTTGTGTGCAAGTGGAGCGAACCCCCCTGGCCGATTCGGTTAGGGTATGTTCTTGATCTTTTGCTCTTCCTGTTTTTCAGCAACGATCCACTGTCGCTTCGATGATGCACAGGCAGGAGACTGTGGAATGCTTGAGAAAGTTCAATGCTAGAAGGAAGCTAAAGGTAAGTATATGTTAGTTTGCCTTAAGTTTGTTTTTAATCCTCCGCACTTGAGGTTAATGCCTTCCTAGCCACAATATTTTTTTTATGATCATCTCACTAATGTTAGTGAAGTACCTTATGTGGTGCTCAGGTACAAGGTACGGAAGTAGTGCGTGGAGAAGCTGGGTAGTTTCTGTCTCCAAAGCTGTAAGTTTCCCATGCATCTTCTGCTACGTAACTACCCCTTCTACTTTCTGCAAGAGAGTTGAAATAGAGTAACTGGTTCTTAAATCTCGGTGCTTTTAGTTCTGATCACTCTCTGCCTCCCAGTAATAGTGTACCAGTTGCATGTAGCTAGGGCAAAGTCTCTGGCCTCTGCATGAAGCAGCTATTTGAAAGCTAGGAAGCAGCTATGTGTCTAAGCACAACTCTTAGTGCCGTTTTAGATTACCTAGGCTATCCTGCCTGGCCTCTAGCTGCTGCTCTAGAGAGGCAGGGCTCCGAACGGTCCCATCTCAGGTCCAACAGCCACGTGTGGGAATCCTGGATACACTAGGACTTTCCAGGGTAGCATTGGGATACCTCTGCTTTGGCACCTGATGCTCTGTGTTCTCCGTGGGTCAGCCCAGACCCTTTCTGAAGTGAGTGACACTGTCTGTTATTCCTGCTTTCTCTTCCCCACAGGGTGCAATCCTCACAACGATGCTTGTGTCTCGGAACTTTTCAGGTAAGGTCTCTCTCTTCCCATCCCTTCTTTTGATTTTGTTTTGTGTGAGTGAGTCGGGATATTTTAACCATTTTGTGGTTGAGTAGAAGGGGAGAAACATGCTCACAATTCATCATGGTGTAATAGTGGACACTTTGCCTTGGCGGGTGACCAGTGTGAAATAGGAAGTGATTTTTTGAGGAGGAGCACATGGTGCTATAGTCTGGTGTAAAACAGAAATAAAGTCAGCTGCCACGATCCTTTCGTGATACTTTGTTATCAGATTATTTTTGGGAAATTCTAGCTGGCATTTGTTAGCTTTCCCATCTGAAACCAGGAGTCAAGAACTCTTATTAGATAGCAGTGATTCCTTTACACCTGAGGCAGGGACGCAGGGCAAGTAATAATATTGGTGAGAACAGGGATGGGAGCTATTTGGGTATTGTATTACTTTGAGTCATCAAAAATGGATCTGAAGCATCTGGCTATTAGAGTCTTCCTTCTTGGAGTCTCAGAATTGGTTTTCATCCTTTTAAGCTTAATAACTGGTAGTCTGGCTCCCACCCAACTGCATTACGTAGTGCACTTACTGAAAATGCAAATCTCAACATGCAAATCAGTGCTTTTTGGAAGATGATTGTCTTGTCTCAGCACATCTAGGTGATGCAGTCTTATCTGTGTTCATTTCCCTTTGGGTGGAAAACCTCTATTTGCAAGTGCTTTCAGTTTATGGGTTTGTTTGCTTTCTTCTCCCTCTTTGACATTATTTTTTTTTCCTCTTTTAAAAAGGGCAATCATTGAATGCATGAGTCAGATTTTTATTGGACATGACTACAGTTACTTTCAAGTGAAAGTCTGCTGTATGGATTATAGGTGATGATGAATGAAATGGAAGTGTAATTATTTCATCTGGCCATTTACTAATGGTGGATACCAAAACTTATATTCTGGGTGATGTTACAATAAACTTGTAATTTGAATGAAAACCTCTGTGAAACAATTATCCCAACATTTAAAGTGCTCATTCATGCATGCATTCTGTTGTGAAATCAAGGCAGAATTTTTAACCTCCTGTACAAGGTGATTTTTTAAAAAAACAAAAGGATGCGAAATCAAGCTACAATTAAGGGACAACCTTTAGGAACTTCAGAACAGTTTTTCCTTGTTTCTTGCTTTCAGGTGAACCTGTGCCAATATGTTGGGACTACTTTGTCGCTACAGCAATTTTTCTGTACTGCATTTCTGATAGTTTGGCCTTAAAGGGCCAGAACTATTTTCTCCATTCACCTGTCCCAGGATATTACAGGACTTAAAAAATTATATGTTGTTTTCTGATAATGACTCTGAAATGACTGTTTGAGGAGCTATGGCACAACAACAGGGCTTCTGTGGACTGTACGAAATGTAACATTTTCTTGGGCTTTCTGCTGGTATGAATGGGTTTTGATCTATTCACACAGCTAGTTTTTATTTCACTTAATTGATGATTCCGAAATGGTGAGTTGTTTTGGTGTGTTTTTTTTTTTTTAAACAGCAGTTTTGGATTCATTTTTAGTCTGCAAATGTTGTCACTTCTAATGAAGCTGCAGAAGTGCTTGGGTAAGAAAATCTCGTGTGGCCCAGATTTTGAGTACATGAAATGCCTGAGAGAAGGGTTCTTCTTAATGGTGTGTGACCTATACATCCACTTATTCCCTGAGCTAGTATCGAGGAGGAAAGGGCTTGCTCTGCTCATTCTTCTCTGTCTCAAGGGCTGAAGCTGCTGGATCCGCTTCAGTTAACAGCTGAAGAAAAGGAAATCCTAGGTGGCCCATAGTGAGCGCAGGGTTCTCAGTATCACTGAGTTCTGCTTTGAATATAAGCTGTGATCCCAGGGAATGAGATGCTCTGAATAACTGTCCAGAAAGAAATGTTGTGAATATAGATGCAAAGCATTTATAGCCTCTGCGGACAGAAGCTATTCCTAATGTTTTGAAAGCGGGAAGATCAGCTACTCTTGTTTTCTTTGTGGGACTGTGTGTCATATGAGCTTGACTTTTTTTAATTTATTTTTTTTTAAATTTACTTAGGTTTATTTAATTGTTGCAGTTGAAATACGTAAATCTGCTGGAATTGAAGAATAAATGCATGCTAACCGAAAGTAAAACGTTCTAAAGTCTGTGTAGAGCTCAGACTTTTCCTATCATGACAGGTCACCTAACTGTGCTTGAAAAGTTCCAAAATAGTACTTGCTTCTTTTGCTAAAGACCTTAAGGGTTTTTTATTTTCCCTAATTGGGTGACACTGTTTTGTGGGCCTCTAAAAGCCCCATTCCCAGCAGACAGGGAACTGGATTTATGAAGAGAGAAGCTTCTTCCTGTCTGGGGATGAGATCTTCTAAAAGCTTCTTCACAGATGTTGTGAACCAAGAGGAAAATGAAGGCTCATGTGACCCTGGTATCAATTAATTAGGCGTGATAGTACTATCTGCAGGAAATATGAGAAGACTTCTTTAATCCTGTTGTCATTAGTGTCTCTGCTGTCACACATTTTGTAATGTGGAGTTCCTTCATTTGACAGTGTGATTTTAGCTTGTGACAAATTGTATGCTGAATGGGTTTATGGCAGTACTCTTTCTCTTTTATTCCCATTAAAAAAAAAAATCTTACTTTACAAAGAAAAAAAAAAAAGCTTCAGTTGTTTTATGAGTAATCTGTGGCTTTCTTGGGGCCTTTTGCCCTGGGGTCAGTTCCTAAAGATAAAAGAACGTGATCTGGCTCCTTTCCCCAGTTATAGTATATTCAACAATTTAATACTCGCCGTTTGTGGTTCTTTTAGAAGATTGTATCTCAGGTCAGCCATAGGCTATTTGTTAAAAGCAGATACAGTTGCACTCCTTTCAGTATAAGTCAGGAAACTGAGACCTGGTTATAATAAGGGGTTTTGTAGCTTCTGTCTGCACTCTGGTAGGTGTTCATTCAGCTGCGAGAGAGAACATTGCAATCTAAACTTCACAGTGGGGCCTTTAGAGTCACACCAGGGTATACACAGGATGATTTGGATGCTCACAGCTTTTGATGTTCAGATGATCCAAGCAAACACTGATTTCATCTGCGTTCACTTACAGAATACAGAAGTACAGTCAGGTAAATCAATTGATTAGATCATATGCAAGAAACTCCTAAATCACCTTCTGAGAAGTAAATGTAAATTCATTGGAGAAAGTTGGCAAGGTTTTCAGGGATTCCCAATAGCTGAAGTATTTAAGGGTGCAAGTAAGCCTCCTATATGCTGAGTGAAAGGATAGACAAAATTGGGTTTCATCTTAGAAACAGCCATCTTCACAAAGTGCTGAGAAGTTGCTTTTCTCCATAAGTTAGTTTTTATGCAAGACTTACTAGTGGACTACATGAAATTTTTAGTACTGTTTTCCTAACTGGACTGCAGCTGTTAATTTGGGGAGTTGTTGTTCAACAAGCTTTCACACTCTGTGAAGTTCACTTCTCTCAAGTGGTTCAGCAGAAGCCCTGTGTTCAAAATAGATCCTAAGGCAGATATTGCAGGTAATTAAGCCTTATGCCCAAAACCTCTATCTTTAACTGATGCTGAGCTTTTTACTTGGGAATTGTCGCTGCATGCTCAAGTCAGTTTTGTGAAGGAGCTGTTATGGCAGCTTGGGACAATAGCTGGAATTCATTACATTACAGATCCTTATTAACTCTCTGATATGCAGTTTTTGGGTTGAGAGAGGCTGGAGGCAGACCCAAGGAGCAGAGTGCTTTCTGACTAAGTAAAGAAGGGCTGAATATGCTCTGCATGTTTGGTATAACTTGTACAGAGATGTCTTTGAGCTGACTAAAAAGCAAGAAGGAAGAAATAATACTAATACTGAAATATTTCACTGTCCCATTATAACTGCCTTCCAGAAGAAACTGAATTTTTGCTATTTTGTGTGTGTATACATATATATTTATACTCAGATTGGCATTTGGGTTCTTTCCTTTAACCAAAGTAAAGTTAAAACTGTGCAAGTAATATATTTGAAGTTTCTGCTATGCTGTGTTGGTTATGTAGATACTCATTCAGGACCAGAAATTTGTATCACCTGACTCCTGTGAACACTAACCTTCTAGTGTGAATTCAAAGGATGAAAATATGGAGGGAAAAATGTATCAAGATGTTTCCTGAGAGCTTTGAATAAATGAGTATGAGATCACAGGGAACCACATTTCCTAAGCAGAAGATGAGGTCAAATTTAATGAAGAATTAAGTTGGTTTTCAGTGATTTCTCTCTACTGAGTTGCTTAGGAAACAGGCAGGGGTTTCAGAGAATGGTGCTCAACCCCTACGGTGGGGACCTGCTGAAGTAGTGTACTTCAGTAAGTAAACTTCCATTTTGCAGCTTCCTAGAATCATGTGGATGTTATTGCTGCATTTAAATGTTTATCATTATCACCCGACAGTCTAATTTATTATCAAAAGTGGATTTAAATTATTATAATAATTCCCTTTACTTTTATCTTCCTCTCTCTAAAGTTCAGGAAAACTCTATGAATGCCTTATCTTGTGGTGTTTGCCCTTCACCCCTTCATTTCTTGGTTTGTCAGGAAATGGAGGGGGTTTTGTGATACTGCAAGAGAATTGCTCTCATTTTTATCAACTCTTGAATTTGGGATGGACTGCTGGAGCATTCAGCCTCGAAAGTCTAGGGTGGGTGTTAAGACTGTTTCGAGCCTTTAAGGTTCTGCTCCTGTTTGTGTGTGTACATATGCATACCTGCAAAGAGAGTGTCTTTTGGGATGTGAAATTTCTGTATTGGCGGAAAGGTGTTTGAAAGCATTAATTGAAATGTCACAAACTGTCCAACTGGGTCCTCTTTTCTGGCTTTTTTGTACATAGTCTTTCTGGAGAATGTTGTGGTTTTCTGAGGCTGGCAGAGGCAAAAAAAGCGGAAAGAAATCACCGGGTTCCCACACAATTTCTCCATTATTCACCACCGGGAGAACTGGGAGCTCTGTGGCTCAGGCCAAGAGGACGCCACT